CAATTCGAATTCCATGAATTCCATCAATTTATTACCATTTATCTTAACTGTCAAATACACGTGTACTCGTACGGCGGTAAGGCATAGCCCCAATACCTTTTTCCTACCCCAAATACGTGTCGTGCCGCCCCGCACATAATTCTGATTTCTGGTTGTGCCACTCCGCCGCTGCCTCCCCTTCGCTGCTTGCACCATTTTGTGTCATAATCCAAACATAGCCTACTTATCGACGCCATGCGATTACTTAGTCATCGATTAGCTGACGGCGGCGGCGGCGGCTTTCACCGTTCACCGCTCGCTGCCATGTCTGCACCACTGATGTTGGTGTTGGCTGTTGGTCTGTTGCCGTTGCCATCATTCATTCATGCCACGCAACGTTGCCGCTTTTCACTTGTTTGGCTCGTGCTTTTCTTTTGGCTGCTTGTCCAGGGGGTGGGAGGTTGCAGGTGCTGCAGTGTCATTAGCCTCCACTTTTGACACTGGGGATGTAATCGAAAAACAGAAAAAACAAAAGTGAAACGTAAACAACAAATACCCCGAGTAAATACAGTGAAAGCTTCTGTGAGTGGACAGACATTCCGCCTAAGAGAGGCGGAAGAGGTGGACAACCAGGGTTCCACGAGAATCAATTCATGATTGCCTTGTTCCGATTATGTTCAGATATCGACACGATTTGAGGCTTGAGGGTCCAATTATTTCATTCCATCATTCCCAATCGCACGTCATGCAGCAGCGCCTCTCGGCCAGTCCGTTTCATGCGTTCCTTCTCTACAGATCCTTATTTTTTGCAACATATTTCATAGTAAATCTACTATATTCCTGGATCACACGTGTCGCACGTCATCCAGCATCGCCTCTCGGTTAGTTCGATGGGAGGTGGACCGTTTTTCCGCTCTTAGACTGTATTTAATTACCTGCTTAACATTTCAAGCCTCACTTGTCTAAGTTTTTAACGTAAATTGAATTAATGATTTTCTCAAGAATTTCTTTCTTTAATTTCTAAACCACATCCGGTTGTAATTCCCCTAATTTCTATTTCAATTATAATTATTTTTAACCATTTATTGTGTAAGAATATTCCCATAATTTCCATAACTTCTTGGTAGCCAAAGGCTCATCCTTTTTCAAGACTATCCATCAAGGATCGCACAACACAATCGCATTTAATGTTGCCGCCAAAACATCAAATGCAATTTCCGATTCCGAATCTTTCCCCAGAGAGAGATAGAAAGAGAGACCATCAAAAGTGCTTGGGTCATGGCAACAATCAACAGTCCGCCGTCCACAAAACGTGACGCTTACAACAAATCTAGGGATTGTAGTTTTTTTGGGGGCCCTTCTAACCATCATCATCATCAGTTTCTGAAGAAGTAAAGAAGTGAACGAAAGAATGGTTTGGTGGCAGAAAAATAAGTAGAAAAGCGGCCGAGGGCATGTGTAACAAAACAGAAGAGAAGACACCGCATAGGCCAGCACAAAAAAAACACACACAAAAAGTCTGAAGAAAAACCAATTGTGAGATCTGGAATTTTTGGGATTTTCAAGAGTCATCCATGGGCCCAAAAGGTTTTTGGCAGCTTGGGAAATGGAAATGGGAATGGGAATGGAGTTGGAGTTTGAGATGGGGAATACTTTTGGTCGGAGATCGGAAGCCGACACACATTCCAGAACCACCGACAAATTTGTCATTTTAATAAGCGCATTTTGCTGCGGGGTTTTTTCGTTTCACTTTGATACGGATTTTCGTTTTACTTTGGTTTGGGGTTTTGGGATCATTTTTCTTTCGGGTTTCCGTCTGTGTCAAGTGCATGATTTGGGGAAATATTTTTGGGCCTGCCACAAAGCTCCGCTCGCCGCCCTCAACCTTTGTCCCCTCCAATCTTGGAACGTGTTAAATTTATAAGCAGTCGCTTTTGTTCCGCAGCACCAGAAGCAGCCAGCAGCTGAAGGAGGAGGAGGAATGCCTGGCTAATTTACGATTATTTTTGTTTATGAATCCGTTCGCTCGTATAAACCTAATAGAGCCATCAATGAGCCATAAAAATGAGTCTGGGTCTGGGTCTGGGACATGTGACACGCCCAACTTCAACTCCAAGTCCAACTCCAAGTCCAGATCCAGTGGCAGCTCTCCCCCCCCCCAGTCGTGTGTCTAGTCGATGTGGCGACGACTTTGATGGGAAACAAAAGAGGAGTACGAATGGTATATTATCGACCAATAAGAGGATGATATATAACCCCTTTCGGCAAATGAAACGACATATTTATAGCACAGCAATCATCATCACGGGGTAGCACCAGTTTTATATCAATCTGATGATGCCTCACCAAAAAAATAAAACAGAAAAATAGCCAGCCACATTTTTGCATTTCTGTCTACGTTTATGACAAGAAATCATTGGGAATGGTCATTTTAATATCGAATTTCATGGGGAACTGAATGAAAAAGACATAAAGAATATATTTATGAAGAAGTCATCGAGAGGGATTCTTCAAAGTATTATTTTCGTTATTCCTTCGTCTCGCATTCGAGTACGAGCCAGATACTGAATGTGCCGCTCATCCGAAAGTGCTGATTGGTGCTATCGACAAAGAATGTCGTTATTGCAGTCTGCTGAAATTCAAACAAGAGTCACTTGAAATGAGCTGCACATCAGAAAAAATGCAACTACCAGAAATTGAAACAGAACCAGAACCATAAAACAGTTGGCTCATCGACATGCCTGCAAACTACATCGTTCGTTTGCCTGGAAAACTAATTTGTGGACTGCAATTTTTAAGAACCGATTGGCATGGACAAACTCTTAATATTTCTACTTTAAGCAACAAATAACTGTAGTCACGCATACCTATCGAATGAGCAACAAATGCATGTGGGGGACACTCATTTGGTTCGTTAACACTCGGTTAATCATCACACAACTGATTGAGTTAACGCTGGTGACAAACAAAGACTTAAGATTTCACCATTCCAAGGGTCTATGGAGTGCTGGCAAACTCATGTAATAACCGATACGGGTAAGCAAGTCCCAGAGATAGGCCATTACAGGGCGGGCCTTCAATGGAATACTACTTTCAAGTTTGGAACAAAGTGAAATTCGGACTCAAAAGAGTCAATGTTTTCTCTCATTCAATTTGTGGAATTCCAAGTATTTTCTTGCATCTAAATTATAGCAATTCTTAGAGTTTATCAATCTTATCTTATTTTATCTTATCAAGAAAATGGAACGATTATAGCGATATAAACTGATAAAAGACACTTTAAGAATTGAACTCTTTGAATGGAACAATTGAGATTAAGAAAAGTTGCTTTTGGATGGAGAATACTTGAAAATGGAACCCTTGTAAAGAGAAGACCCTCCCCCGTTGCACTTGCCCACAGACTGCCCGACACTCCGGCCGTCCAGCTCCTCCATTTCCATCAGCTGAGCGGCACAGCTGACAAATGGCACTGTAAAATTGCCATTCTTTGAATGGCATTTGCATATTCTCCAGTTCTCCAGACAGTGCCGACAAAAATATTCCACACAAAAGAAAAGAAAACAAAACAAAACGAAGAAATGTTGGCGCTACGGAAGAAGCCGGAGGCAGGCGACAGGCCTGCCGAAGGAAGTACAGAGAAAATTGCCAACACTTGAGTGGAATTTTAAAATGTCTCTAGTCCGGGCAGGAGGAGTCGAAGAACTTTGAACAGCTGCAACAACAATCAATGGTCTGACATTGATTTTCTCTGCCTTTCGGGGTATCTTAGGCCTCTTTGGGCCCTTAGTCACTCGTTTTTTGGCTGCATGAGTCACACGACGGTCCATCCATTGAGAGAGCACATTTCATATGCAAAAAAAAAAAAATCAACTACTAATTTTCGCTTGTAAAAATGCTTTCCGCTTTCATTAAGCAAATTTATTTTGTACATACTTTTTCGTACTACTCGATCCGCTTGGGATGTATCTCGTATCTCGTATCTCGCATGGCATTGGCACCGACGGACGACCGCCGACTGTCGTCTGTATTTTAGCGAATTAAAAGAAATTGCCTCATCCGACAGATTGTGTGTTTTTGTCTGTGATCTGGAAATACTCGTAATGTGGATAGATGGCCATCTAGCTAACTAAAAAGATACGACAGATACGACTCTGAGATGAGTCATCTTTTACTTACAGATCTAGAGATCTAGAGATCTACAGATCTATAAGTGACAAGGTTGTCTCTCTGTCGCTTTATTCAAGGGAAGGCTTTTGCTGGAAATACTAGACAAATATCACCCCCATAATCGTATAATCTTCTGCTTTTGTCTTATCGAAGCTTTAGATACAGTTTGTATCTGCCTTCACGCATTTGTGGAATTCTTTTTTGCTTAGGGTGATAATATGGAAGCGTTCTGTTTCTACAACTCCACTCTAGACTTCAGACCTTCCAGCATTGAAAGCACACACTCTATCGAATGGCAATTAGATATTCCTTCGACGTGGAGGCGGCTGTCTTTGTGGCAGGCAGCACGTGTCTCTGGAAGGGCAGGGGCAACGTTTTGGGGACAGCGACAGCTGCGCCTGTTGCCAAGTGATTTTGCAGACAGGAAGCGCCACAGCGCCACAAGACAATGCTGCCACTAAACACACGCCCACGACAAAAAACAAACGGGAAGAGAGAGGAGAGAGGAGATTGGCAGCGATCTATGACAAAAGATGGCATCATCGGAAGGGAAGAGGGACATTGGACAGTGAACAGTGTTGATGATGCGTAAACTAATCTCAAAAGTGTGCCCATTACCGGGAAAGGAACCCAAAGGATCCCAAGGATCGACAGAACAAACACAGCCTACATCCGGTATAGGAAAAAAAACGAGAGAAAGAAAGAAAAAACACACCAGAGGCATATGCCAAAAGATATCAAATTTAAATATAAACACAGTTAGGGCGAAGGTTCTCTGGTTTGCGGATGGATGGAGGGGGGAGGGTACTGGGGAGGGGGAGATCTGCCTAGAGGATGGATGTGGAGCCACTCACCTGTCGTGTCCATGTAGACAATCAATGTGGCAAAGACTGTCGCAAACGAGAGCAGGCACAGTGCAATGGGCAATAGCTGGCGATAGGGCGACGGACTCAGCCGGGGATCGAGCTTCTTGTTCTTGTTGCAGGATCCACTGGCTGCTGCAGCTCCTCCTCCACCTCCTCCTCCGCCCGCACAACCCGCTGCGGCGTTGGCATGATGATGGTGGTGGTGATGGTGGTGCTGCTGACTGTGATGGTGACGGTGTGAGTGCTGGCCCTGGTGTTGCGTCCGCGCTCGGGACTCGCCACCAGCTGCTGCCGCTGGCGTGGCTCCTCCGGCTATGCATGCCCCCGATCCGGACACCTTTTGGCAGCAATGGAGCTGCTGCTGCAGTGCCTGTGGCAGCCGCGTGGGCGTCGACAGGGGCGAGGACACGGTACTGACCGACGGGGAGCTAATCACGCTACTCAGATCGCTCTCATCTGGTGCTGCTGCTCCGCGTCCAACGTCTTCCAGCTGCGGATGGTGTTGCCGACTGTTGCTGTTGCTGCTGCTGCTGTGTGGATGCCGCTTGTGCCGCTGCTGGACGTGATCCGTCTCATCCGTGCCGCAGTCTTTGGTGTTTTGTTGTCTAGTCTCCGTCTCCGTCTCGGTCTGATCGCGGGGCTGCCCAAAGTTCACTTCGTCCACGTCCTCGCACTCGATGTCGTCGTCGTCATCGACGGCCGCGTAATTCGTTCGAACCGGCAGCGTCTTTCTGCTGATCGCTTCCGGGGGACTACTGATGGCGGGTATCGTTGTTGTTTTAGGCTGATGGACAGTGGTGCTAGGGGCGCTAGAGGCGCCTCCGCCTGCACAGCTCCTGCTCATGGTGTACTTTTTGGGCGTGGCCTTGCCATGCCGCCTGCTCTGCGGCGCCGTGGATGATCGCTGCTGGTGCTGCTGCTGCTGGTGAGGATTACAGCTGCTGATCTCCTCCTGCTCTGCCTGCTGCAGCTGCTCCACGGCCAGCGCTGGATGCGCCGAGAACACTTGCTTGGACATCGCTTTTGGTTTCTACTCTTCGGGGGGGGGACGGGGGGAATTTTCTCCTTCTCGCTTAGAGCCGCATCCTGGCCAGGGTTTCAACTGAAAGAGAGAGAAAAGAGAATCCAATTAGTCTCGAAACAAAAAACTAATTTCAAAGAGTGCATTGAACTAAGGAATGAGAATCGAGAATCGAAAATCGAGCATGGAAGACCCACAGCATCCTTCATCTGTGGTGCTCTGCTCTTCGCTCCATATGTCTGCTGTCTGGGGCAATCTTTTGTCTGCGTTTTGGTCCTTCTTTCAGACCCCCCTCCAACCCCCTTGCCCACCCTTGTCGCTCCTTCTCCACCTTCTGCTCCTTGTGCTGTCTGCCTGCCACACATTTTCATTTTTATGAATAGGCAAAAAAAAAGAAGAAGAAGAAAAAGATGAAGAACCGAAGAACAGAACCCAAAAACGAACCCAAGAGCAAAAGTCGCTCCAAAAAGAAATTGAATACAAAACTCCACCACCTGTCAAAAATCGAGAGACTGCTGCCAGACAAAAGAAAGAGAGAGAGAGAGAGAGAGAGAGAGAGAGAGCGAGAGAGAGGGAGACACACACACATAAGACTCTCCGGAGAGGCAGAAGTGCAGGAGAAGAAGACGGAATGATTGCTAAAGAATTTCAACAACAACGCGAGGTATTTTGTGAACCAAATTAAAAAAGACACAACACAAGAGCGAAAGAGAGGGAGCGCGGAACGAGGAAGGAGTGAGTGAGGTGGAGTAGAGCCAGGGCCCAAAGCGGGGTGAAAAATGCATTGCAGCGAGGCATGAGAATTATAAATGGATTACCACAAACGTACCGAACCATTTGATACCCTTTGAGGTCTACGATACACCGAATAGTTGATAGATTTTCGATTCGAATTGTGGAGGAATATTCAAATATTTTACGTTCAAAGAAAACTGCTTTCAAAAAGACAGTTTTTTGATTGATTGTTTCACAGTGGTTTCGGTTCTTCCCCTCTCTCTCTCACTCGCTCTCTCTGCGAAGGGTATCAAAGACATTGTAGACGATGCACAAAGAACGAAAGAGAGCGAAGATCCCAGAGAGGGAACAAGCCGATCGTTGAGTGAAGAGCACGGGAGGGAGGGGGGAGTGAGTGCCAGCCGTTTCATGTGCGAGCGTGTGTGTGTGTGTGTGTGTACTTGTGCGCCTGCGCAACAGACGAACGAAGCAGAAGTAGTAGAAGGGGAGGGGGAAGAGAAGCCATGCTTTGAAAAGTGCAAGCGAGACGGCAAGCAAGTGGAATCGAGTTCATCAACTGGCAGCAGAGACCCTGGCAGCGGCAGCGGCAGCGACAGCGGCAGAGCGCAGCAGATGTTTCTCCCAATGTTTGGCGGCTGTTGCCGCCTGTCTCGTCCCCTCTCTCTCTCTCTCTCTCTCTCGCAGTCTTAAGGCATGCCCTTCCCCTGCGTAAAGGGCATTGACAAATTAACAAGAGATTTGCGGTGGAGAAAAGAGAGCAAAAGGCACAGATAGAAAAGATTCGACAAGTAGTCGAATGTCTGATCGGCAGACTATAATTTGTACAACAAAGGATCGGAATAAAGGATAAATTAGGAAAACGTTTAGGAATCTTTTAGCCCTACAACTTTCGTACAGGTTATAGAACCTAGAAATTTCCATTTATGGTATTATTCCATGCCCAAAAAAACCGTTAAAATATTGAAGGAAGCGGTACCCAAAATGCTATACTTTTTAAAGATTTGAATCTAAATCTAATTTTCACAATAAATCCTCCAAATGAGTATCCGATCCGAATATGCTAAGGACACAAAATAATTATAAATTTAGCTCAAAAAAAAACTTGGATTTAGAACTTAGATTTCGAATTCTGAAAGAATTCTTAAACTATTAACCCTAGAATGACATTATTCATCGTTCAAAAGTTCACTTTTCCAAATACAACTCCATATTCCGAAAAGAGTATTCCCACTTTCATTTGAGCCTAAATCCAATTTCCCTTGCAATTTTTTGCCTTCTGTAGTTTTTGCTTTATGAACCATAACGTCTTCTGGCTTACCCTCCTTCTACTCCAGCATATCATCATCCATATCATCCATATCGCTGCTGCTGCTGCTGCCTCTTGGGCAGGGCTCCTTTTGCGCTAAGGGCAAGGCTGCAGCAACAGATCGCTGACCATCAACGAGAGAGGAGTCCACTCCGTCTCCCTCTCCGTCTCCGTCTCTGTGTTTCTCTGGGTTGCACATTGACTTATGTGGGGAGATGCCGCAAGGCATTCGCGCATTCATTAGCCATTACGCGTGCGCCCAGTTCTCAGATTCTCCGATTCCCCGCAACACTCCCGCTCTCTCCCTCTCCCTCTTTCCACTGGAGCTGGGATGTGTTTTGTATGTTTTGATTTGCTTGGAATTTATTGAAACATATCCCCAGCAAAGCCGCGACTGCTGAGGCAGCAGAGAGAACGAACCTGTGATTAAATGCCCGGCTGCTGTTGCTTTAATGATACTTCGTGCCCCTCCCCCACCCCGTTTCGAGTGCGTTCTTTAAACGATATGGTTCTTGGAATGTGATCATCCAGGCAAGGAGGAGGCATCTAAATGGAACCCCTTCTTAAAGATAACTCAGGCCGGCTGCTGCTGCTGCTGCTTCTTGTTGCAATTGCAACTTGTGGCAGGCATGTGGGTTGCCAGCCAAAGCCTTGCCTTCTCAGGGCTGTATCCCATTTAATCGATATCCATTTTGATGCCAGGGTAGCTATTAACCAATTAGGAGATGTTTTTTTTTTGACACAAAAACATGAAATCTAAATTTGGTTTACAGATTTCTCAGTTCAGGCAAAAAGTCTTCAGAACCAATTAAACCATTACGCAGCTCCATTTGACAGAGTATCCATTCGCTTATGGAAACATTTGCACAGATATTCCACGGAAGTACCACAGTATTACACATCCATGGCTTTCCTTTCAATTTTACATTCATTTTTCATATTCCGAAGAGATTTTGGCTATCTTCTGTTCCATTCCACAGTTCCCCTGGCAGTATATGTATCCGTTCGCTTATGGAACATTTTTACAGCAATATTTCTATGGGGATATTCGTACATTTTACGAATCTGCAGTAATGGAAAGGTGTATTACAGTTCCTAAGCTTTATTTTAAATGCTGTTCCATTCCATAGTTCCATTAGCATTAGCACTGGATGTATCCGTTCGCTTATGGGAAATATTCTGCTTGGAATATCAATTCTGGTCACTTCCCCTAGCCTTCTTCCCCCCAAAAACAAAAAAAGTTTCCCACGTGGCTCAAACTTTGAATCGCATTCTCTACACTTTCTGGCAAATAAATTTGATGATGGCCAACAATTGTAAGCCGCCGTCGGAGACCATTCGGAACAATTAAGATGCATTTCCAGCAGAAGACAACAGAAGACGGCAGAGGAGACCCCAGCCCCCGACCGGGGGCCAAGTTTGGGGAAGAGTTTAATGTGATTTTGATTCAGTAATTAGCTGGAGATGGCATTTGATTTGTGGTGCGCTGTACGCGCTAAAGCGCCATGAAATCGAAATACAAGACACGGACAGAGGAGATGGTGGGGAGGAGGAGGTCTGCTATAGATAAAGTATCTTGTGGATGCGTCTGTGTCTGGCGTGTGATTTACGGCTTGTCGCACAGCGCATGAAATCGATCGATTATAAAAAAAGAGAAAGAGAAAAAGAAATATATATAAAATCAGAGGAAGCCGACAGCCGCACGGATGTGTATCTTTGCATCTATATATCTGCAGATGTAGATGTGGATGTATCTGTTTCTGGCACTGTATCTATATCTTGTGTGTGCGCTTTCATTGATGCTGCTGCCCCCTTTGCTTCCCCCCTTTTTTTTTTGTTGTGTCTGCTTGCTGTCTGGGAAATTGTTCACTTGGCAACAGCATCCCCCCCATCCCTAATCCCCCATCATCATCATCGGTAGCAGCAGAGGAACCTCCAGGGCGGCGCCATCTCTTCAGAGGTCACCAAACACAATTTTTGGAGGATGGGCAGCGTCTTCTCGTGGGCTGGGGCGGCGACGGAGGAGGAGGAGGAGGTGCAGGCCCCGCCAATTTTCAGCACATTTGTGTGGCGCAGGCCAATTTCCAGGAAAATCAAAAGGAAAGGTGAGCACAGCTCAGAGGTGGCACAAACCAAGACAGCAGGCAAACCGAGTGCCAAAGTGGCAAAGTGGCAGAGTGGCAGAAGTGGTGTGGCAGCAGTGGAGGAACCAGCGCAGCGAGCGAGAACATGCCACAATAATGTTTTGCGGTTAATGATCGTAAAATGCGATGGACGTAGAAAATGTAACAAAAAGTAACAACAACACAACAGAAAAACAAAAACAAATACAAAAAGAGAGGGAAGCTCTAACGAATGATGCGGGCAAGAGTGATGCGACTATGGGGATACCCTGTTAAGCTACGAAAACTGATCGAATGGGAGGACCCACAGATGAGACTTATTTAAGGAAATACTCTCTTAATGAAAGGAAAAGAAAACAACAATCTAGGGTAAGGGATTTTTCTATGTAGACAGCAGAAAAGTGGCGATGTTTTTCATAACTATGGACCTAGTACGGACTGCGTCCTGAGTCCAAATTTATGGTTTTATATTGATTCCGAGAATCTTTATTCCCCAACGAGGCCTCCAAGGACTAGGCGATCCTTTTCTGATCTTTTCTTGTTCATTTTTACGGCTCGCAAACTCTCCAAGTTCTCATATCATTCCCAAGGACATGGTTTATAATGAAATTCAGTTGGAATTCATATAGTTTATGGTACAGAAATACCAAAATACCTGCATCTACCCTCTGTAAGAGTGGCATGGGGCATAGCAAGGAACGGCGAACGGCACAAGACATTTTGATAAAACATTTACAAACGCACTGAAGCATAACTCCATCATCCCATCTCGAACCAGCACACGGCTACAACAGAACTACAGAGCCACAGAGCCAGAGTAGAAAAAGAAGTTAGGAGCAGCAGAGAAACAGAACCACGATGTGGACGACGATGATGGCCAACGGGAGACAAGAGACGATGCCTATGAGACGATGGGC